GCAGAGAAACGCTCTTATTCACCATTTAATTAGCTATATGAAAAAGTAGCTGAATGACACATCATTCTGCCTAAAATCTCTTTTTGTAAGTCATATGGATAAGAAACAAAATAAAGGTTAAGTGATGAGACGTTTTATTTTTGGATAAACTATTTTATTCACAACAATCTCTCTTAAAATACCTTATAGGGTTATGATAATCAAAACAGTCCTGAGCTAGATCAAGATTTGATCTCTGCAAACCAAACTATAACTTCAATTAAATGTTTTTTTCCCCACTAATAAAAAGATTTTATCATTAGCTAGCTCCACACTGGAGAGCTGCTTTATAACAGAAAATCAAGTTGTAATTCTAACTGAAAGCGACACTGACTCTGGTTTTTCATGTTTAATGCTGTAAAGCTGCTTGATTTAAAGCTATCTATTGCATAAAGTCAGTGCTTCCCCGTTAATATCACCGGAAGCGTCACACGCGCTTCAGTACGAGTAGTACACAAACCCGCGTGTCTGCACCATTCATTAACACCCAGAATTAATATTTAAATAGTCGTTTTGCTGCTTAATATTTACAAATACTACTGGGAGTGGGAGTGTGCTCACTTGTGTGTGCACGCATCAGGGCGGAACTCCGCTGTGCACGATACAGAGAGCGCGATCATGTAACGTAGAGACATAAATGACATGCCGTCATGTAAATGAGATAAATAACATAAGGCTATTTAGTTTGTTTAATAAAAGAACAAGGTATAGACCTGTTCTATAGAAAAGGTAACTTTAAATGGCTTCTGTTGTGATCTGGCGATATAGAGAAAATAAAAGTAAATAAAATAAACTTGATCTTCAAGGGGGGCGAGGCGCCCCCCAATTTAATGGCAGGGGAAACACTGATAAAGTACTATATAAATAAACGTGACTGGACGTGACTGGACTTTACTGGAGTACTGAACTGCAGAGCTCGTGCAAGATCCACATCGCTGTAATCAGATGTGTTTAAAACTGCTGCTTTCTCAACGCTGTCAGTTTTTGATGCGTTTATTTTGTTATTGAGAGGAAAGCGCGCAGTATATATTTACACATTCATCCAAAAGCCGCTCAGCAGCCTCGGGTTCGGCTGCGTTTGCCCTGTCTGAAGCGCTGTCTTCTCTTGAATTGCATCAGGAGAGCTGAATTACAGTCTTGTGCTACAGCGCCACACTGGTCAAACCGCGTTATTGCAGGCTCTTACATTAGGTCATATGAGATCAAAAGACTACTCGACGACAACAAACATATTTGTTGACAATTTTTTTTTGTCTACATTGTCGATAATGTCTACTAATCATTTCAGCCCTACCCACCACCCTTCTCTCCCATCTTCCATCAGGCAGGGAAGAAAATCACGATGAAAAACCTTCAATAATCCCAGCATTAGACAGGAGACCCATCCGTCCTCAGCTCAAGAATGACTCTTATTAATAGCTTGTTGCTTCGGAGGGCTGATTGCAACTGAACATGCGCGTTGCTGGTGTTAAGTGAGCCAGAATCCAGAGGTGACCACTTCCTGAATCTCAGAGAAAAGATCAGATGTTTCAACTGCACACATATGGCCTGAATAATGCCATTGTGAGAGAGAGAATTTAGCTTAAACTGTATAAACAATATGTGCTGATGCAGGTGGGTCTGTGTGTACTGATACAGGTGTTTGTGCAGCGTGTGAACAAAAGTACAATATGTAACCAGCTAAATGAATCGGAATTATTTATACAACCCTGTGGCCACAGACACTAAACCACAGACATACATCTTCATAACAGTGTGCAGCCTGCCACACACACACACACACACACACACACACACACACACTACAGCAGAAAGCAGTTCGTAGACGACAGGTGATGTAATAGGATTTTGTCCAAGGAGAGAGGGAGCTAAACGTCTCAACTGTCACTTCCAGATAGACCTGGTCTGTCAGCCATCTTTTTTTTCCCCCTCCCAGACGTACCAGTGAGTCTATTCTATCTGAAAAGCTCTGGAGAGAAAGACTGTTACTGTATATAGACAGAGGTTTATAAACAGGGCAGCTGCTGGAGTGCATTCAAAGATGTTTTGAAGGTCACGGGTCGACCCCGATGTTTGATCTAAGGTTAGACTCTTTTGATTGGCCGCACAAGTGTTCACAAGCTCACAGACACAAACACCTGTAAACTAACAGGTCACATTCGCAGGACAAGCTATTTTTATTAAATGGACGTTCTGCGCTGAAGAGAGGAGCCAAGACCTAATTACCCACGAGTATGTGTTAGATTCAGGCTCAAAATACTTATAGAATACATGTTTCTATTTTCTACATTGTGTTCCTGTTATACATATTTTTTCTGGTATTTCCTATTCATTGTTGGTTTCATGTTTATATTCTTTATTTTCATTCCTATGTCCTTTCTATTCCCATGTTAATTTTATTCTATATATGGACAGTCATAAAAATGTTGCACTGCATATGGTTGTGCACGTTACAAATAAACTTTAATATAAAATTTGAAAATATTGAAAACAATAGCTATGTTTCCATCCAAAGATTCGAATTAAACCTGTGCAAAACTGGAATATCGCATAAAACATATGCAAATAAAGCACCGTTTCCATCATATAGTCATATAGCCTAGTCGATATAGTCATAGTCACATGACTTTTTCGATGCGTACAGAGGAATTTATTTGGTAAATGTGTTTCCATCATAGTTTGTGCATTTTTTCTTATCGGATAAAAAGTTTATCCTACTCAAATGTGAGCACAAGTTTTTTTATGCATATTTTTAGAATTTATGCGCATCTTGGCGTTTCCATCCAGCGTTTTTTATGCGATATTCCAAAATACACATAAAAATAGGTGGATGGAAACATAGCTAATCACACACATATGGAAAAGTCCAGGACTGGGTCTGTTTATTTTAAAAGCAGTGACTGTTTTCCGTTTATTGTCAAAGCAATAGCGTGCAATCGGACGTTTAGTCTGGAACGAGGGGCCTGACCTTGGTGGATGCACCTACATGCGGTTCTTCCTGCATGCTTTTACCTTCTTACTCGACACTGTAAACGAGACCCCTCTCCTCCATTAGAATTCACTTTAAAATAACTGTGTACAGTATAAGTGCTAGAATTGTGAATTGAGTTTAAAATGTAAAGCAAGCTGAACTGTAACTAGATCAGGTGTCAAACTGCAGTGTGTTTAATATACAGCGAGTTTACGTTATAAAACACCAATGAAATATCTTCTGACTGAAAGGCAACCGAGAAATCATTATTTAAATATCAACACCTCCGAATCACCAATCATGGACACTTTATTCTCAATCAAGATGCTGATTGGATGACCGAGCCGAATCTCCTGCCTGAAAGAGCAGAAGACTGTGACTGAAGAGAACGCTAGCATTTCCCTGCTCAATTATTCTTCCTTTCCCTGCATGTTTAGAACATTAGGGTGGAAATGTCTGTCTGTGTGTGTGTGTGTGTGTGTG